AAAGAAAGAAAGAAAGAAAGAAAGAAAGAAAGAAAGAAAGAAAGAAAGAAAGAAAGAAAGAAAGAAAGGGAGGGAAGGGGATGGGCTTGATGACACACACACACATCTAATTCAAGCACTCAGGAGACAGAGGCAGGCAGATCTCTGTGAGTTCCAGGTTAGCCAGGGCTACATAGTAAGACCCTGCCTAAAAAATAATAATAATATAAAAAGTAAAGAAAGGAAAGGAAGAGAGCTAAGCATGGCAGTGCACACCTGCAATCCCAGCACTTGGAAGGGTGGTGCAGGAGGATCCTGAGTTTGGGACCAGCCTAGGCTGCACAGTGAGACCCTTCTCAAAGAAACAAAAAAGACACATGGTTACAAGGTATAAGTGGTAGTTCCCAGACTGCCAGTGAGTGTAGTTCTTTGTCCGGTGTTGGATCCCTGGCTTCTCCCACTCTTTTCACCGGGATAGTGTTTCGATTTTTTTGTTTGTTTTGTTTTGATCTTTTTGAGACAATGTCTCCCTGTACCCTAGCTGGCCTGGAGCTCACTATGTAGACCAGGCTGGCCTGGAACTCACAGAGATCCACCTGCCTCTGTCTTCCCAGTGCTGGGATTAAAGGCGTGCGCCACCACGCCCGGCTCACCTGGACACTTAAGAAATTTCATGCGTCATATTCACTTTCATGTTATTACAGTTCCTTCAAAGCCACCCTGATTCAGGGGGTTGGGGTGATAGCTCAGTCAGTAAAGCGCTCGCTTCTAGAAGCCTGAAAACATGAGTTCAGATCCCAATACCCATGAAGAAAGCCAGTGAAGGTCTGTAACTGGGAATGCAGGGAGCAGATCCCTGGAGTACCCTGGTCAGCCAGCCTAGCCAGCTGGTAAGCATGGGGTTCTGAGAGACCCTGTCTCAAAAGACAAGGGAGCGAGCAATTGAGAGACACCTGACATCAACTTCTGGTCTCTATACACATACATGCATGTGCACACGCACAGACATGCATGAATGCACACAGAAGAGACACAAAGAAAAAAGTCATTGATAATTCACAAGTCAAAAGTGTCTTGTCGCTTCTTCATATACTTTATCATTTATTTATTTATTTATTTATTTATTTATTTACTTATTTATTATCTTTTTGAGATAGGGTCTCCCTGTAGCCATGCTGGCCTAGATTCACTATGGAAACAAGGCTGGCCTTGAACTCACAGATCCACCCTTCTGCTCCAGAGTGCTTGCACTAAAGGTGTGCACCACCACACCTAGCACTGTTTCCTATTTATTAATCAGACTCCCCTGGATGGCACCCTCACTTAGGAACTGGATTCCATATTGGAGCAGACATCATAATCCCACAGTCAGGGGCTCCCTTACCTACACCAACACCTGGGCTTTCTAATGAGAAGTGCTGAAAATTCAGTTCTTCAATATCTATTGAAACTGACCTTTAGGAAGATTTCATGGGGCTGGAGAGATGGCTCAGTGGTTAAGAGCACAGGCTGCTCTTGCAGAGGACCCAGGTTCATAACTCCAGTTCGAGGGGATCCAACCCTCTTCTGACCTCCACAGACAGGCATTGCACGACAAGGGTGCACTTACATAAATGCAGGCAATATACTCATACACATAAAAATAAAAATAATAAACTATTTAAAAATTTCAAAAAATTGAAACTAAGATCATTTCACCAGCAATACCTGACCATGGTTAGTTTTACTCCTTTACTATGGTTTTCATTATTTTTTACTGTCAAAAAAGATGCCAAACCAAATGCCAATCCAATTAGAAACAAAGTCACTTCCAGGAAAGGCCCATATATTCTCATGCTCCCTTTCAAAGGCCAAGAAATACTCCTGAAAATCAGAAAAGTGACTGTCTTGCTCCCACTAATAATTGGATCTGCTCATTCAAACACACATATATACTCATCCACCCAGTCACAATCGATGCTGTTCCACGCTGCTGACTTCCCCTGTCTTTTCAACTCAGAAACTTGGCCATAACACTCACTTCCTAAAGGATTATTGGTGTAGATTCATAAAGTTAATAAATCCTCAGACAAGGACATTTATTAATGTTCAAGGATGCCTCGTCTACCCCCACCTAAATCTTCAACTTGGTAACTCACCTGACTCTGAAAACCCAAGACTCCTGAGCCAACTGTGACACACGTCCTCAGACTGTCTTGGTACAGACCTGTGACCTCACATGTCAGATACGACTGTCAGGTCGATAAGGGCAGTGCCTCTACAAACATTTGAAGCTTTGTGTGTATGCTATACAGGGTGACACATCACACAGAGGGAACAGCTGTCTATCTTAACAGCCTCTGCACACAGGTGCAGGTCACTAGTGTTAATGACCTTTCCACAAGATGACTACATGAAAAGAAATGTCCTAATGTCCTTTCAAAGTCAAGTGCCGTGGCTTTCAGAAACAAGAGCTTGGACTTGAAAGCAGTTCCAGACAACTGGAATGCGGGGGAGGGGGGGGGAGTAGTCATCGAACTGAAGCAGAAGGAGCTCTAATTCTGCAGTGGGAGTGATGAAGGAAGACACTGTAGCTGTTTCATTTACTCTGTACATTTGTTAATTTGGAGAAAGCCAGTCAGTCCTGTAACTATGCTTTATTAAAAACAAAACAAACAGAGACGGGCGTGGTCGGGCACACCTTTAGTCCCAGCCCTCGGGAGGCAGAGGCAGGTGGATCCCTGTGAGTTCAAGGCCAGCCTGGTCTAAATAGCGAGTTCCAGGACAGCTGGGGCTACAGGGAGACCCTGTCTCAAAAAAAGACAAAAATAAATAAATAAAATAAAATAAAATAAAATAAAATAAAACAAAATAAATTTAAAAATTAAAAAAAAAAAAAGCAACTAGGAACTGGAGAGATGGCTCAGTGGTTAAGAGCACTTGCTGCTTTTGCAGAGGACCAGAGTTTGGTTCATGTTGAGTAGCTCACAACCATCTGTAACTCCAGCTCCCAGGGCATCCAATGCTCTCTTCTGGTCTCTGAGGGCTCCTGACCTCACGGGCACAAACCCACACACAGATAAACATGCATATACAAAATTAAAAGTAAAAATAAATATTTTTTTAAAAAACTAAACACAGCCGGGTGTGGTGGCACAGGCCTTTAATCCCAGCACTCAGGAGGCAGAGGCAGGCAGATCTCTGTGAGTTCAAGGCCACCTTGGTCTACATAGTAAGTTCCAGGACAGCTGGGGCTACAGAGAGACCCTGCTTCAAAAAGACAAATAAATAAATAAATAAATAAATAAACAAAAAACTAAACACAATTTAATATGTTTAGTTTTGTGAGTGAAGAATCATATTAGCAGGGCTACAAATGATCTTTTGACTTTCCTTTTCTCTTCTTGAAAGCAACAATAACCAAAGAAGCATAAAGGAGACACTAACAAGCCACACACCAAAACTTGCAGGTCTAGGTACTGCCATCAATATTAACCACTGTTGTACTTTTCTGAATTCACCACTATAAGCTGGGCATGGTGGCGCACGCCTTTAATCCCAGCACTCAGGAGGCAGAGGCAGGCAGATCTCTGTGAGTTGAAGGCCAGCCTGCTCTACATAGTAAGTTCCAGGGCAGCTGGGGCTACAGGGGAGACCCAGTCTCAAAAACACCAAATAATAATAATAATAATAATAATAATAATAATAATAATAATAATAGTGTGGAGAACAGGAAAGATGGCTCAGTAGTTAAGAGCACTTGATGATCTTCCAGAGCTCTGAGCTCAATTAGCAGCATGTCAGGTGGCTCACAGTTACACTCCAACCCCAAGTGATCCAGCACCCTCTTCTGGCCTCCACAGGCACATGTGTGTGCGTACACACACACACACGACACACACATTAAAAAAAATCTTTGAAAAAAATAAGGTGGCAATGGTTGAGGAAGACACGAAGTCAACCTCTGGCTATTACACACACACATACACACACGAACATATATGTACAAACACAAGATGCTACAAGACTACCTAACAGATTAAATTCCCTGAATGTTAGCAATTGGACTGGTGCAGATCCAGAGCCAAATTATCTTGGGCTGCTTTAGTCTATTTACCTCTAGTGTCCTTAGTAACCATTCACAGCATCTCTGACCTGGCATCCTCCATCCTTGTGACTAGCACAGAAC